AAAAATTCCAACAATCACGATCCCACGAGTTTCCTTTAAGGGAAACCAACAGTTCTGAACCAGAAATCGAAATTTTTCCGAGTTTTTCTCGCTTTTCTTGCCCGCTGCTTGAGCACCACTTTTCTCTGGCACGATCAGAACAAATACTAATTGGCTGCCGGACCTGCGCATTTAACCATACCAATCGCTTTCAGTATTGTTATATAAGTTGTTCGTCGACTATACAGAAAATGACAAAAAAAACTGACAAAACGGTTTACACTGTTGACAAATAAACTATCTACTACTGCTATCAAATCCCGCATAAGCTAATTAAAAATACTGTTTCGAAAATTTTATTTCATTTTATTTTATTTCTCCCTAGACATTATAAAAAACAAACATTGCTTAGTGTTAATCAATCAATCAGGCCCTATAAATAAAACAGAGCGACAAATGGCCTATTTGTTGGAAAATATAGATCTGTTGGCATTTTGCAAATCCTTCCAAAGGCAAAAACATTATGGACCTATTATTTTCATTTCCTTGTCGTTTTGATATAGAAAAAAATAAATAAGAAATAGCCGCATGTTCATCTAGGAATTTCGTTCCTTCCAAAGTACTTTTTACCATTCCATAATGTAGTGTTATTTGAATACATAGAAGCGTATCCAGCAATTGGATCGAACTCCCAACCCTAATTGGGCGCGTAATACAATTGCTCCAAATATGCTCATCGAGTATTAAATAGCCACAATCAAGAAATAATAAAAATATGCTCTGCTTATGCTCTAGGGGAATTGGTAAATCGATTACATCTCAAATACTTTAACTACCAAAATTACCAACTTGAGAAAATGCGTGTCGAGATCATGCCCTTGCAAAACTTATTATAAAAGATGCCAAAGGGCATGTTTAATTGTTATGTGGATAAAATTGGTAATTTTGGACACAATGAAAACAAAAAATTCATATCGCGGTACAGGAAAATTTTCATAAAACACTAAGTGTTCAACGCCCGAAAAAATAATTCAACCACTATTAGACATTTTCAAAAACCTGTCATGTAAACCACTACAGGATGCAAGTTATGGAAAATTAAATTGGTCGAGTGATTCCGTCTTAAGACTGTACAGGAAATTATAGTACATTGCTTTTAGAACGCGGAGAGTTGGCCTCTTGCGCCGCTAAAGGCAAATTTTGAAATCTATTGGGAAGCTGATCATCTTAAACTAGATATGTAGGAATTAAAGTAAACGTTTTTGAAGGCGCTAGCTTGCAAACAGTTTCCAGACCGGTTTCTTCACGTGGACAACGGATACAGCAACGGCACCCAGTAAAAACTTAAAACATTCGACAATTTTTGCAAATAAGCAGCTGTTATTACAATTGCCTATTGCAAAACTTTTTCAATAGGTTATAGCCATTGGGCAAATCGTGCTTTGAATGTTTATAACCAATCAGTTGTCGTTAAGTGAATTTAAAAACCCGATAATGGTTAATAAAATGTTGTATCTCAGTCTATCTACAGAACTCTTCTAATAGATCTGGAAACATTAGAATCGCGAATATCCTTGTTTTTTCCCCGAAACTCCAAAAAAAGCAACAATAACCCGCTAGTTTTGCACTAATGTAGCGCTTATACACCCGCCGCCACTGCATAATAATAACTCTTTTTTCTCAACTAATTTGCAATTGACGCACTAATTGGAGGTAGTTGTGTGGATTCCTATACATCCTCGTTGATGAAACGGTCCGGAAATTATCGCGGATTTTTCTGATGAAATAAAAAAACGGTATCTACGCTAACTGGGACAAACACAACGCCTGGTTTACCATTGTGGGTACCTGCACACGACTCGTAACACACTCAGTCGATAACAGAACCCGAATTTCAAATACTCGCAAGAGATTTTTTTGAAATTCAAGTCTGCTATAAATACACACTGAACGGGTAAAAAACATAATTATGAATAAAATTACAATGCTACGGGATAACTATATACAAAAGACAACTGACTACCCTAATCATTGTGCCAATGTGTCCATTGACTAACATCCTGAACAAAACACACCGTGAATGAGTAGTTAGTGTTTTATTCGATAAATTATCAAAATAAAAACGAGAAGAGTAGTTATTGTACTAAAAAATAACACTTTGGAACAATGAAAAGTAGTAATCAGTCGGAACCTGAGGGAATGAGAAGGCGAACGATCAGAGCAGGGCGCTACTAATTTACTCGTCGTCATCATCGTCCCCATCGTCTTCATCTTCCGGCTCTTCTTCAGGTACAGGTGGTTGGACAACCGGGTTCAGCTTCTTTTTATAAGCTGTCATTTCCTGCAAAAAAAAAACAAAATTTCAATGTATTTATTTACACACCTTGAGTGGTAGTTGCAGTAGTCCTTCACTGAAAAGTTCGAAAGGTTTAGGGCTTGTGCGCACCCGCGGACGAACTGGGCGATGCAAGTGAACGCGATAAACGCAGAAAGCACATATGCACGGTAATAGATTACTGCGAGTCTGCTACGTACCTTGCGGGTACCTAATCGTTTTTTAGAAGTTATTATCATATTGATCTTTAAATTACGTTAGTCTATCTGAAAGTTTTATTAAAATGTTTGTTAATTGCTGTGTATCCCAAGTAAGAGGGGCAAACAATCTGGACTACCCACTGACGTGTTAAATCTTGAAAATTGTTTTATTACATAAATTATCTCTTAAATCTCTTCTGATAGGTACTCTAGGTGGCTGAAATTTTATGGGGGAACTTCACTACTATGAATAAATGTGTGTTGATTTGTTCATCCATATCTGTTTGTTAATTCCAAAGCAGACGAACCTGAAGTGAAGGAAAACTGACTGGGCGTTTCCAGGATTTTTTTGGATACTAAATCGAAGCGATCCGTCGTTGAACACCGTTTTTATCAAAAATTCGCCAAGATAAATCCAAAAACCCCTTAATTCGGTCCATGATATAATATAATGAAAATCTAGTTAGTGAGAAAAAACTCACTTTGATAAGAAATTGCTGGGAGTTTCCAGGATTTTTTCAGTTTCGAAGACCTATAATAATCTCATGTGACCATCTTTTACTTGACTTTTTTCACTCTTTAAAAAAATTGCGTTTTATATGCACACCAGCATCGCCCAGCTCGATCGCCACGTTCCCTTAAAAAGTGGAAAATATCGGATTTGAAGAATTTTTCTATTATTCAATGTTTTCCACCTTTACTAAGTATCAAAATAGGTTATTCATTCAATGTCTATTGTAGAAGAAAAAATCAAACTGCATAATTACTTTATTTTTAAATGTTAAGCTGCTGAAGAAAGAGGTAAATTTGACAGACATCGGTTGCTAGTTAGATATTTTTTCTATAATTTTATTTCAAATTCTACCAATTTGATTATTTTTTAGAAATCTCTTCAGAAGTATATCAGGTTTAATTAATACCGTGGGTTTAAAGCTAAAAGTGATGTGAAATGAAATGTCCAAAATTGCATAGAATTACATAATATACAGGGTTCTTTGTATGGATAACTTCTACATTTTTAAAGATAGAGAATCGGTTAAATGAGCAAAATTGGACAGAATTCGATTGCCTATTCATCGTTTCAAAATTTAGGTACCCGACTTGGTTCCTGAAGTCAAGAAATCAACACTTTTTCATTATCACGTATTACGTAAACTGCTGAACTGAAAAAAGTTAAAATTGCCCTTGGTAGAACTTTTTGCGTTGAATCCAATCACTAGCACTCGTTGTCATAGTCAACTTGATTGACGAGATTAAAAATAAACTTTTTTATGGTAATCATAGTTGGCTGTGGGCCTCTTAAAATCCGATTTTTTTCTGAATTTCACGATAATAATAATTTTCTTTGCATACAACGAATAAAATGAAATAAAAATAAACATAAATATCAAACTGACTTGAAAAGGAAATGAAGATGTGAAATTTTAACGAATCGAATGAACGAACGAAAACATGCGCAATATTTTTTGATCAACGATTATTTAAAAGACGGAACAGTTGATGCATGCGGTTAAATGGAACCAAAATTGAGTAGATTTCGAATTTCAGATTATTCTCTTTAATAAATTAGTTTAATATAACATTTATACACAATGCCATAAAATTAATAAAAACAATGCGAACGAAACTGGCAATACTATAATTTCCTTCGCTATTTTTCTTGATCAGTATGACTCACTTCAATTTGCACTCGATTTACTGACAAATAATGATGTATGGAAATAGCATACCAATAATAAAGATAATTAATTATCGGACAAGCTCTGCCAACATTTTAATCTGGCACAGTATTATAGACAAAAACCGTTTATATAGCGGCTAATGCCTGATCAAGTTGTGCTTGTAAGAAACAAACATTTACAGAAAACGACTCTATTAGTACTCACTTTCTCATATCTGATTTTGTCCTTATCTGCCAAAGCCTCGAACTTTGACCTCACTTCTGGATCGGCATCAGCCCACCTTCTGCCCAACTCTTTGGCGATATCGCCGACACCGTATTCCGGGTTTTGAGCCTTAACTTTGCCACGCTCGTCGTTGCTGAACCAAAAGAATGCCGACCTGAAAAGCAACAAGAAAAAAGTAGAATGTTTGCGAGGGAATTGAATATTTTCTTGAACAAATCGTTGGCAGTAAAAAATAGCGACACTTACAATGATCTCTTAGGCGCATTGGGGTCCTTAATTTGTTTTCGCTTCTTGCCTCGCTGCTTCTCCCCTTTAGGTGGAGTGTAGCTCTGCATTTCTGTATCATAGCGCTTCTTGTCAGTCTCAGCCATCTCGTGAAAGCGTTTCTTTTCTTTGTCCAACATGGTCTGAAACAAGAAAAAAAAACGATTTACAAATGATTTCGGATACAAATCAGCAAAACACGATAGATGCCGACATTTCGAAGAATAAAGGGCATAAATTTAAAAATCTGAAAATACGATGAAGTGGAATATAAGGATGACACCGCAATCTTACAGGAAATTGACGCTCAGAATGATTTAATGCATAACCCATATTTTCATACAATTAATCCATTAGGTGAACTGTTAACAGACTTTTGACAATTTGAGATAAAGATCAGAGCCTTTCAGGCTCAATTAAGTTTGAAAAACTTAATTTAAATTTGGTATTTAATGTGCGCATTGAGAAGCCGTAAAACTTTCCAATACAATTCTGGCTATAGCTGTAAATAACTGTCTGAAAGTTAATGGTATAGACGAGTATGATGAATTATTTCCGAAATCGCCAACATAAAAACTAATTTCGTACGTAAATAAATTAGAATTGAACGGGAACGTTCTCCTCGGAAGTTTTTTTAAATTAATTAATGGTTGAAAACGACGAAAAAATCAGTTCTGCCCGGATTGGAATTTAAATGATTCAGAACGTTCTGAAGACTCATGCTCGATAATCTGATAGTTGCGGTAATTTGGCAGAAATGTTTTGGGGCACCTTTAATTGATAATAACTCTGCGAGATTTTCGGATAAAATTGGACACAAAAATTATTTATTGGCTAGTTGTAATGAAAATAACGTAGATGGTCAGTGGTTATGCTAAGACTTGCTGAGAAGTCTGCCTTGGCCTTGAAAGCTTTTTGAATCGCATTCTTGAATATCTAAGGTCAAGCTGAACATTTTGCTATTTCTCTTATAGGACCATTCACGATAAATCTTCAGCCTTGAGACTAAATTAAGACCTAGTGATAATTGAATAGGCTTACCTTCCACCTTTCGGCGCATTTCTTTGAGAATTCAGCAAATACGACGTTTTCTTCGGGGTGTTTCTTCTTATGCTCTTCTCTGCATGTTTGCACAAAGAATGCATAAGCGGTCATTCGACCCCTGGGTTTCGAATCTCCCTTTTTCGGCATTCTGCCTTTCGGTTGTGAAATCTGCTGGTGTTGCTGTAATACCTTTAGAAAAAAAAGAATCTTGGGATAGATTCAAACAAGCCATTTCCAAACTTTTTAGGCGCCATATATTAACTATATACAGACAGCAAGTACTTGAGCTGATATTAGAAACTTTTCGCTCAGTACTGTTGTTAGTAACTTGATCAAAACTTAGTCAAGTTTGGTTTTCATAAAATTCCAAGAGCAAAATCAAAAAAATAAAAATACGCTCCGTAAACTGAAATAGATTTTATTGATATCAACTTTTTAACTTCCTATAAAGTATAACTGTATATAAAGATGTTTAATTTAGCAGTTAAACTGCAAATCGACGCCCCTTTAACCGAGACACTAGATTACATATTTTTAAAGCAGGTCCTAGTTTTAGACCCATATATTTCATCATCATATCAGAGTTCAACAATAAGAAGGCTTTGCCATCAATTTCATGTTTTCTGAACAGTTCAGCGTGCACACCCAGACAGGGATCCGTAGAATCGATAAATTGGATCACTTCTTCGATTCCCCATTCTTGTATAGGTATTTTGCCTAAATTGCAACTGGGTGGAGGAGCCGGAGGTGTAGCTGTAGAACTGGCGGGTGTGGTTGAAGTAGCCGGTTCCTGTTCCGGAGGAAATTTTCTTTTAACCGCCCTTGCAGTCGCTTTAATTTCACACAAAGAGCACTCTCCCTGAGGTTCTTCGAGACTGAATAAATTCCGGCAACATTGAACTGTTTCACTAATCATCGAAAACATAGTTTCGATGTCAGCAACAGAGTTTGCTTTAGGTAGTTGTAAAACATGTACACCGCCCTTAAAATTGATTTCAAAATCTTCTCCAATCAAAGTCCGCAGACTGACAAGTAAATCTTCTGGTTGATTCGATGCGTACAGAAGCTGTTCCACAAACTTTTTCTGTAGAGTGACCATAGAGACATCTTCTAAACTTGCTGGGAGGTTGGCGGGGTTGATTAATGACCCTCCATTGCATTGCCTCTGGAAATTGATAACAGTAGGAGGCAGAGATGAAGCCGATGTATCTGCTTCCGATTGAACAACCTCAGTCACAGAACTGATCGTGCTGGTAGGAACAAATGGTACAAATGCCGGCTTGAAGCTGTACCGACTGATGCCAGTGTTATTCTTTTGGCCGGGCGGCTGCAGAGGATGGCCCGACTTCGCACACCATCCAACGGGAAATATGTCGCGACTATCGTATTTGCACCAGTAGTCAAAGGCGCCTTTCCATCCGTCAAAAGTTACATGGATTTGGTCGTTTTTAATTGCACCCACAGTCGCGCAGCATATCAAATGTGGGTTCTTCTTATCAACAGCCTCCAACTTCTGCCCCACTTCGAATAGATTCACTTTTGGACCCGCGGGCTCCTTCTGAAAAACTTTACTGGGAGCCATCTCTGCACCATTTAAAGTTTTCAATAAAAACATCGGCCAAGAACTTGCGTTCATGCGAAATCCGAGAGGAGGTTGCAGCATACCGCCCGACTTCTCGCAGTGTCCAATTGTGTGAATTTCGCTGGAATCCACCAAGCGCCAGAAATCGTTTTTGTTGTCGCTTCCATCTAATCTCAATCGAAGCCTAGGCCCTAAAGTACTGATCACAGTGGCTATACAAGTTGAGGTAACATTTCGAGGATCAATGGCTTCCAGCTTCATGCCGACCTTAAAATCATTGATAGGTGGACTGGCAGTTTGTCGGAAGCAAATCTGAGGTGCAGCAACACTATTGGTTTCTTGAATATAATCACACCAATCAAATGTTTGAAAGGATATCGGAGAGCCTTCCACAGACGTAGAAGCGCCAACGCCACTTAAACGATTTGCGATCTCTTTCTTCTGGTGCTTGTTCATGCAATACGTCGAACAGAAATCTTTGTTAGAAGCATTTGGAGTGCTGCTGTTGTTCCGAATCACATTATTACATTGTATGCAAGTACTGCCTTTGATGTAGGCTTTGCGAAACTCTGCCAAACACGTTTCGGAGCAAAACTCTCGTTTGCCATTTGTTGTAGGAAAGACGTATTTTAACGGTAATTTAACTTCGTTGCACCAGGTACAAGAAACGGGTTTTTTCGGTGGTCGACCGGGTCCTCGTATTTTAGAATTCATAGGGCTGCCAGACATTATTGAGGGCTGTTGTCATGTGCGAGCGACTTTCAGCCTGCCTTGGAACCTAAAAAAAAGGTCTAAGTTCAGGTTAGTATAGTGTTAGTTATATCACAAAGGCTCAACGTGATTGGACGCCACAAGTTTTGACCATTGTTTCCAAAAAAAATTATGACTCCAACGAGAGAGCAAAAAATTCTGCTACACTATTAACTGTTCGACTATCTTTCACCATACTATATAAGAAGCTTGATTTTGAGATGGACAATTCTGAACTACCAGCACTCAGCAGAATTTTGTACTCTCCCAATTGAAAAACTGGTCAAAAGCTAAAACACCACCTACCATTATTGAGCCTCTGCAATATACTAACAATACACGCCTATATTTGAGGAACTTAGACCCAAAATCAAGCTTCAAAAATACCGATTTGACTTGACTGACCGAATTACAACAGCAGCTCAAAATGCCAAACCTTTTCTAAAATTTTTGCTCAAATCTAGCACGAGATTGGCGCAAAAGTTGAAAATTTTACAAACGGATCATTTACCTGGTGGTGGTTATTTCGCTGTTGTAGCTGATGCTGCAACTGATGGGTTTGCTGCTGCAATTGGTGATGGCGAGCCTGTGCTTCTGCGATCGCTTGACGATGATGCTCGATGGCTTCTTGGTGCAGCCTGTAATAAAATAATTACGTTAAATTCATTGCTAAACTCCATTGAAGGGTGAATGAGGAAAATTATGATCACTAGATTCGAATGTGTATGTTGAAACTAAAGTAATGTCTATCAGTTAAGACTTTCAGCAATCAGCAATTCTCAACGGAGGCAAGGTTAAAACTATTTTTTCCAATGTAAATGTAATGACCACAAAGAAAAATGTCACCACAAGCCTAAGTTTTCTCATCACCATCACACCTTTTCTATAAAATGAAACTTGAATGGTATTCCAGATCGAACGGTCAGAACATTTTATTTCATACATATTTCTAATAATTCTATTTCATAACATTCCTACATATTTCTTTGACATAATTTATTTTGGTATAAATCATTATCAGATACAACTGTTGTAGGTGATTTTTCATGTTAGTGTAGAAAGATGATTTAATCAGTATTACATTTCCATTTATTTCTTGTTTCTCTAAAAAAAAAAACAAAAGAAAACCCGGGTAAAACAGATATAGATGTGCAAAGTCATCATATAACCAGCGTCAATGCAGAGAAAAATCAAAATCGCCCACTGAACCCCTCATTTCCACCTTGAAACGAATTGATTATAAGAACAAAAACCAATGCAAGTGTTAACAGTTACAAAAAATTTAATGAAGTCGCTTTTCTTCCGAAACGCACTCCCAAGGTCCTTACTTCTGCCAAGTCACAAGACCATACAGCCACAATTTGCAAGATTTCATGCGAAATATGAATCAATGAGAAAAATAGCTTTTACCGAAGAAGAATTAGGAACATTTACAACTAAAAAAGCCAATTGTACATGATAACAAAGTGCGATGTTCAATTTATAAATTAAACCTTGCAGCACAAACAAATGAATCGAATTATATAAGAAGTCCTCAATTCTGTGGAACGTTCCTAGGGGGGGCAGAGATACAATTGATTGAGGAAGAGGAGCAAATTCTAAAGGTTTAAAAACGGACGGAGTAGACGAAGTTTCGCTTGCTCCTCTTTTATGTGTAATTCATCGTGCATACTTAAGATTGTTTATTCGATGAGTGAAAAAAACTCGTAACAAGATGCAAAGAAAACAAGATCATTTGCCTTCGGTTCAATTAATATACCGTCGTTCGATATAAATATAATTATTCATAATATAATTATTTTGGGCATTGACGGAACTTGTTCCTGATAAGCAATTTCGAAAAACATAGTCAACATCAAAATATGAATCAGATAAACAACAATAATGTACAAAAAATAATAAGTAACAAAGCCCCCAAAGCTAGCACAGCGCTAGACAAGGAAAATAACGCGAAATCCACCATTGACTAAGCATATATTATAGAAACATTTAATAGTGTGGAAAAATTTGTGGACTTTGCAAACAAAAATAATAATTCATGACACCATGTGAATAATCTTCAGACGTGGAATTGCAAAAAGAAAATGAAAGATCTAAAACTCAGCTCATGTTTGAGAATCAAACTAACGAAATACAACATTTCGAAACAAAAACAAGGACTTTGACAAACAGCTAAGATCAGCAGAAGGGAATGGAGAGCACACCAGCAAAAAAAGCATGAACTTATCCTATAAATGGACAAACTAAAAATAAATTGGACGTAAAGAACATAGGAAGATGATTCCAAAATAAAAGATATACCGAATCACGACTTTAATGTAGTGGTGGAAAGCTTCGACCAAGACGTAGATAAAAAATTCAAAGCGAAAGCAAAAAAATTGAACACTACAAAACAAAGAATATTTGGTAACAACAAAACAAAAGTTTTTGTCTGATAAACCCACCTATTTTTATTGTTTCGCGTACTGTCGAGAAAATACTACCATCAAAATAGACGTATTTTCAAACCATTATAACGAATCAAGGATTTTTGAATTCACTTCCACCCAGCTGAAACTAATCCTTTTAACTCAAAGACGTTTGTAACAGAGTCATTAGCCGTTTTACAAGCAACTAATACAATATAAGTTACAGTCATTAAATTAGCATATTTATTGCAGCACGACTTAAGAGAGAAAAAAGCCAATAAATAAAGCAAATTACCATTGCTAGAAGAACATAATCCCTGTAATTTATGAGATAGTATGCTAATAGACCAATGGAAAAGTTCATTTAAAAATTAAAGCAAATATTATGTGACTTGCCTGTATTCGTCTTGCTGCTGTCTATGAACAGCCTCTTGGTGCTGACGGGTAACTTCTTGTCGCTGAGCTTCGTCCTGTCTAGATTGCGTATCTTGATGCTGGAAAAATGCAAAATCCAATATTAAAATTTAATCTAAATACAAAAACAAATATATTAAATTTATATCCAAATAAACTTTATGATATATTATCTCGAAAAAGAATAAGAAAAATTTACATTGAATTACTATTGTTTATCTAATAAAATATATTCAACCTTCCTAAGTAATACTTTTCTTTAACTGACAAAACAGCGCGAAATCAGAGAAAGTGGCAATACTTTAGAGCAAATCAAGTTATTAAATAACGAATTTACCACTGAAGACCGTAATTTTCCGAAGGAATTTACTACATATGTCAATACGAGCTGGAAAAAGTAAAAAAAAAATAAATAATAATTAGCTCCACATGTTCCAACAAAATTGTAGCTAACAAATGAAACAAATATCAGTCATGATTAGAATGCCCAAAATAACAAGCCAATTAATAGAACTGTGTTCTCAATAGAACCTAATGATAATTATAAATCACTAACAAAACTACGCAAATATGAGCGTATCTAGATTTCAATTTAAATTAATAGATATTTTGCAAGTACCGATGCAATTTAGTAGCAAATCTATTATCTGTTCTAAATTCCCTGTAATCCCATCTGGTAATCGTGCCGCATTCCAAATTCTTAAACTTTTGTTTAAATCAAACGTACTTTTGACACAGTTTATACCGTACATAGCCATTAGGACTGTTTATTTTTATTGCATTAAATTATCAAGTTTTATTAAATCATTAAAAGCTTATAACCTGCAAACAGTATTAACGTAATTAACGCTTCCATTATTGCATTGATCATCAAATTTGCAAATTTTCATTACAACCAACAACTAAAACGGTCCTTTGCAGGCTTATTTCCACGATGAATCCTCCAAGTAATAATTAAATCAACGGCTGGAACTTAAGAAATAAAACAACAAAAGTGAGTGCAGGTGCGCTCCAGTTCAGCTGGGCGCGGCTGATGTATTTTTTACATGTTTTTTTTTCCTCTTGTACAGCCGAAGGCAATCTGAATCTAAAATCTATTATCTCGGTTGTGAAACTCCCATTATTTTAACGTTAAGCGTCCTTTCTTTTTAATTTTATTTCTATGGGCTTTGTATTACACGATGATGGATTGGGTTTGTGGTAGTTGTACACGACGTGGTAGGTAAAATTTTAATGAAAATTGTGGAGTGTAACAAACAGGCAAAAGAACGATTAATAACTCAAGTTATCAGATGTTTTGCGCTTTCAAAACTTCGATGACTAAAAGTGCCAACCTTGAATGCTCTAATTCCACTAATTTACGATGGTACCCCACGTTAAGTTCGTTAATCTTTCAACATTTTACTTCTGAGAAGTTACACAGTTTTTAAAGTAAACCACGTGATTTTTCAAGAAATAAATAAACTTAATGAGAATCTGTAGCTGCCGAAACTTTCTATAAAAGCATTACTTATTCTTTTTAAAGATTTATAGAAAATATTGTTAATGTTAGATATTTGCATGTCATCAAGTTGAGTTTATTTGATTCTAAGTTATCTCTTTCGAATTGGTTTGGCTTAATGTTATTGGTTCCGAGAAAAGTACGGATGGTACGAAGAAATTAGTCACAATGATAAAGTTAGTTTGTTAATTACAACTGAAAGTTAAAGAAAAATTAAACGGTTAAACGTAAACGGCGTGCTACTTTTTTAATTTCTCTTCCTTCAACATTCATTCTTAAACATAAAAATGTAAGTCTTGATATTATATTTCAGCGTATTCAATGTATTTCAACTAAAATGTTAATTAAAAAAGAACCAATACGAAAAATGCTTCGAATTTTAAAGTTAAAAAGATGGAAAACTTCAGAATATCAAAAAGTAACCCATTTTTATTCCAGATTCAGGTTAATAGGTGGGAACGAAGACGACAAATTTTAACTTTTTAAGCTGAAAACTTAAAGTAAATGTCCAAAATGTTCTTTAATTACTACAATTTACGATTTTCGGTTGCGTTTTCGTCGGAAATAAGGGCAACAGTTTTCGAATTTTCTGTAGTTTTAAGTTTTAACTTTAGAAGAACTATTCAAAATCTACTACAATTGCTGTTATTTTCGTATTTCTGTTTCGTCTATGTTTGGAACTGTGGGGTAGTGTATTTTAATTAAGATTGTGGATTTGCGTTTTAGCGGAAGCATTGAGCAGATATGCATAAAGCTCAGTGTTTCGATTCCGATAGAAAATGTTCGGGATACCATTTGAAATCCTCGACTTGTGCTCCGCGTAAGATGTGGAGTGTTTCAGAATTTACAATAAACCTGCGGCAGATACGAGGAAGACTTTCTAGTAGAAGAGTCATGGAGACCCCCAAATGGGAATTGTATGGAAGCAAAATCCCAAGAGCAAATTGTTCATTATTTCGGTCAAATTTACAACGATCGCGGTCCGTCTATTTTTCCGCATGACCGCGGAACATCCAATCATACAAGAAAAAAGAAGCCCGAGGCGCCAAGTTGGGATCAAGATCCTCGATGGTTCGGCGAGTAGCCGAAGGCTAGAAACAGGTAGGTGGATCACAAAGACCTTCCCTAAGCCACCGATGTCGATACTTTCAATTATGGGCTTTCTAAATGGACGAAAAGGGTTGAAATTTCACAATGCCTATTGATTTAAACAAGATTTTGACGACTCCCAAGTTCCGAAAAATCGTTAGATATTTATAATTTTCCGAATCTCACTTAGTTGCCCCTGCCAGTTAAAAGACCTTGGCAAACCTTCAAGGTGGCAACTGAAGAAATCGATAAGGCCAGATGGACAAGTTGTATAACCGCACCGGGTGTTCACTAGGGTTCGAAATTTCTTAAAATTGTTCAGACCAAAAATTAAGCCTAACTGTCATCGCAAAGCGCTTTAATGGGTAAATAACCTAAAAATAAACCACAGTCCTACCACCTGATTCTGCTGCATCGTTTGCTGCTGTTGGTTGGACATATTTTGCAGCCCCTGCAGCGCTGAACTCTGTAGATCCTGTGCTTGCTGTTGCTGGTAATTCCACCAATGTCCTTGTTGGTTATAGTCTAATCCCGCATTACTATACTGATTACTGGCATTCGAGTTGGAAGTGTTTGTGTTTTCAAAAGCGCTCGCCATTTTATAGCTGAACAGTTGGTTGTGCGCTGTTTGGCTGGACGAACTGATTGCAGTTTCAGCATTCTGTTGCTGTTGCTGCTGTTGGTTTTGCATCTGCTGAAGCATCTGCTGTTGGTCCGCATTGGGCCACCACATATTGCCTTCCCAAGCGGCCCTGTTATCCGACATGGCGGATGGAAAAGGGCTTTTCAGCGCGCACAATCACAACACCCCCATTAGCACAGGCATGGAGTCATCTAAAACACCCTTCACAGATCCTAAACACCACCGGAAATAGCGCAAATCGGACGCACGTGGTTATCACAACGGTGCCGACATTAACTATTGGCGGCAAACTTTCTATAACCGTGCACCGTTCATTTTCTTGAGTGATCGCTCAGCCGTTAGTCCCACCAGAACATATACAACACATCCGTACGACGTCGCAGGGACGTCCACGCGGTAAAAATGTTCACTCGAATGTGGCAACAGCGCACACGGTTGTGCGCGCTTACAACGGCCAAAACGTCTGCGCAGCAGATTCTGTGAAGCCGGTTGGGTGACCCCCCGCGCCACTAACTTTACCACAACAACGGTCAATAAGAAGGTTGCTCGGAAGGCGGCGTTGCCCGCTTGATGTAAGGAATTTTTTCACAAAACCGTTATTTCTCACATCCACTTCTTACACAAACGCTAGAAATTGAAAGATGGCCGTCCCAGGTATTCATGCACGACAGGATCCTGGGCAGCTGCCTAGAGGAATTTTCCGACTTTTGAAGAGGCAATTCGACTACTTTTGGCAATTTCCGGAAATCAGGGCAATTGAAGCAAACGGCAACATCGCACTAATCCAGGGCCGCTGAGAAACTTGCAGCACCGCGCTGTTTGATTAAACTTTGGCTCGTTAATAATTCCGCGAGACTGGTTTTCTTGTTTCCAGTCAAATCCACCCCCTTTGGCCCCAAAAGGGCCCCCTTTGCGTGCCACATAAAGGGATATTTTATCAAGATCGTTGCTATATATGCCATATATATTTATGTTCAATTCCGAAAGAAATTGATCAATGTAACGAAACTACTAAAAGTTTAATTAATCAGTTCGCATGTATAACAGAAGAACAGTATCAATTGAAGATGACTGAAATATGACCATCCAATTCAGTTAGAACAATTGGGGAAAAATTACAGAACAAAACGTTAATTAATTGAAGTGGTGCTTCTAGTTACTCAAGGTGCGGTTCTCCAGTATTCTTCATGGAATGCAAATTGAATTCGACAAAATTCCACTAAACTGCAAAAGTTGGAGGTTGACGAGTCTTATTTGCAGCAAATCTAACCTCCCTTTAGCAACTCCTAATCATTTAAATGCCATGTCGACGGCTCGCGTAAGTGTATTGGTATTTTATAGAGAAAAATAAATCATCTGCACTCATATGAAGCAAAACTATCTATCAACTCAAATAATGACGTCACTGCCAACCGGTTTGGGCCACACTACATTTTTGAATATCGACCATATTTAAGATGCTGGACACATTGATTCAATTCATAATGTTAGCTTAATTGAATCTTCAAATTAGCATAGAAATTCGTCCCGATCAACAAAATCTAGCATCAAGTGATCGACCGCGATAATGCTTCCACTTTTTTGTGCGTCCAGAACGATTTTGACTAACAATGAATGCTCCTGCATTTCATATTTTTCCCATTAACAATCGTTCTCTAATGAATTCCTCTATACCTGGATTCAGGTGAATAAAAGCGGAAATCAACCCAACCCAGTCACTTTACCGACATTAGCATTTTCTCATGTAAATTATCGTAACTGATCAGTTTCAAATCCAGGATTTTATTCTGGGGGGAGGCTGAAGTCATAAAAAGTTACATTACTCCAAGTTCTTCTGGATGGAGGGAACGTGTTTTTTAAATATTTAGTTTATAAATTTACGGATTTATAAAATGTTATTAAGTTATTATTAAAGTGAATGAAGATTTTGCGTCGTTACGCTAAAATAGAAATTATTGTACTGCGTAAGTACGTCTGGGGGGTCGGAGGCTGCATGTAGGCCCAACTGGACTCTGTCTTTTATAAATCCTGGTATGCAAAATACCAAAACCATTTTATCAAAATAACAACTTCGAGCTAGATGTACATACAGAAAAATAAAGACAGTTGATAAGCAGCCGATCTAATCACTACAAGCTGGCTGTGCACCAGCAAAATGTGTTATCATTTATCGTATTAATAAGTGTTGTTGACTTTGTACGGGAATTTGTCTATTTTAAACATGCAGTTTATCGAAAAACGTTTCAATTCACTTCATTTTCATAGATAATCAGATTGTGGTGGAAGCAATAAGACAAGGAGAGCGATCGAATATGGTGGCGCTTAGAGATGGATTTAAGAACATACAGAATTTGATTGGTTTAAAATAACCGATTTTTTCAGTCTTAACTTGACATACCATCGTTCCTTCTTAGGTTCTACTACTATGTCGATTGTCAAAAGTCAAATGTTGACAGTTTGTATAATCAATTTTGTACCAATCAACACTAGGCTGCCCAAAGTGAAATTGAGTAACTCTTCTATACAGAGCTATAAATCTGAGTAACAAACACTTTTGCGTATCTGAATGAAAATATGATTACAAAAATGTTAATTCTTTTGATCAGAAGATTTATTTTAAATTAGCGACAGTTTTCCCCATTTCACCGTTTTCTAGCTCTATAATTTTTGTAAACCAATGATGCCATTTTCCAAACTCTGAAACCAACAAAAACACGTCGAACTTGTTTAACAAAACATTGTTATTTTCAACACAAGCTAAAATGCTTAGTTTGTTGTCTCCATCATACTATGCCGGTATATTTATGCACCACGTTGTATCTGTCTTTAGACCTTCACAGTTAAAAATACTCTGCTTATATGCCAATATTTTTATATGTAAAAATACTTTACAAATATTTATCTTATTATTGTAATTTCGGGCATTTAATTTATCTAATTGTAATTTATTTCCGATCACACATTCTGAGTTCAAATAGAAACCTCATAAACGTTTTTTTTTATTCCTGGCAAAGAAAAGACCTTCGTACATTCTACGTGATAGAGATAGCCGCTAAATCACTGCACATTTTCTGAAAACCGAACTATTTTTGCATTAAATTGGGTCAAAGACGATTTAGAATGCGAAAGCAAAATGTTCGAGTTAAAGAGTCACGGGATTATTCAAATGAAAAATCGACAATCTAGCATGCAAGTAACTTTCCGTCTACAATTGGAAATTTAAGTTTCTCTATGTAGGAGTTTGGTATGGCAACCGTGTGGTTAGCGAAATAGGCTTACACTGGCAACATTGTCGGGGCCATTTTTGACTTTAGACGTTTTTGGGTTAGCGGGTTCCGCCATCTTTTCGTCGTCACATTTTGATCTAATTTTGGAATTTAGTGATTTTAGTAGTCTCGCTTAGTGAATTAATAAATTGCTGAAATATAGTGAAGGAAGTTGATCATTTTAGTCGGCCACCCCTACATCTAAAATTTCGATTAGAACATTTTTTTTACTTTTCAGAAGATTTTAATAAAATTTTCACAAAAAATGGAAAATAAACATTGAAACAAAACAAGATTAAAAATAAAAAATATCCACCCAGACAGATTTTTTGATTCATTGTATGAAAAATATTCTTGTGAGTTTTTTTCCCAAGGATAAATAAAAAAAATAAATATCGGGGCTTAGAATTTTCCCAAGTCGGAATATTAGTGGCTTAGAAAAGAATTAATATAATAAAATCGCATTGCTACCATGTTTACACTAAATTTGTATATTATTGCTGATTCCAAGATAAAAATGACGTAAAGCTAGTTACGTTTCTTGAAAAAGTTTAGAAATTAATATCAAGAACCTTGGATCAGTTGCAAAGGCGTTTTGGTGTTATCTACAAGATGAGTTAATTTGGTTCATTTTAAATATAAAAAACGTTCTTCGTTCTAAAAGATTGTTAGATTAAAAGAACAGCTGACGACTAAATTTCAGAGTAATTAATCCTCAAAACTGTAGGACTCAATTTTGGCAACATTTGAGAGAGGTGTTATTTTTCGGACATTATTCCAAATAAAACCTGACATAACGGTTAACTAAAATATTTAAACTATTTCAACCTGATTCGCTTGAATCTCATTAAGTAAGTATTCTAGGAATAAAGCAAATAGCAAAGTAGAACATGTTTCGATGCGGAATAAGTGATTAGATTGCCGAAAATTTAATTCGGAAGAACCTGTATTTATTTCAAAGAGAAAATAACTGTTATAATTGAAGCGGATGCTGAAAGAACCAAAGACTTTTCTGAAAACGACGGCCCTAAACCGTATTTTAGAAATGATACTTTAATACCTTCAACTCGAAGAGCATTAAAAGACAATTCCGGAAATTGATGCAAATGCAATTGATTAATTATTCGAAAGTATAATGGGAGGCATTTGAGCCACTGGAGTTAAAATACAATAGTATATAAATTAATTGTTTGCAACACCTACATAATGAACCCAGTACAAAAACGATATTCTATTATGTAGCGTAAATAACGTGGGCTTCTGGATTTATTGCTTAAATAATGGCTAAGTGCATCTAGAATGGACTGAAATATTCATGTACTAGCAGAGCATGAGTTTAATTATTCGAAATTCAATACAGTTGGAATGAAATTTTTTGTAAGATTTACACTTCTACTAAAAGCAAGTTTTACAGCACTATCAGTTAAGGAGAAAATGAGGCAGTCGCAAAAACCTCAAAAAACTTATAGCTTTACAAATATGATGGCTGAGTTTTCTCTTAATGAAAATGATTCATAAATTTGATGCTTGATGATAAACAGGGTGTCCCATTGAGAATAAGCAAAATTGAATTTTAATGAGTTTTAGAAAAAAAATTGTATTCTGTACACTTTTTACATCCTTATCAACATTAAAAATTCAATCAACTTTCAAGACTTTTGTTCGAACTAATTCATCATGAGATGCTACTCCTATAAAATTCCGATTTTTTATTTGTTAATGAAAAAACTTACTCCTCGGTTCACGCACACTGATAAGATCAATTAATATGTTAATTAAATTAGAATATTTAGCGCAGTTAAATATTCAAATAAATCTACCTCCGAGTCTGTAACACTTTCAAATTCAATCAAGCGCTTTCGATCTTCAATTAAGTATACCGAGTGGTGTAATTCAGGTTGGACAAAACCGTTAACGATTTCAATAAGATTGATTCTTGAGTGCGATAATGAGCGATTACATACATAAGGACAATTGAAAAATACGATTGAGTATATTGTATGCATATTGAGATATATGAGTCAATTTAAGTTAGTTTATGCATCTAAAACGTGTGGCTTTGGGTACAAGCGTTATTTTAGTAAGTATTGGGATTTTTCAGATAATTAAATGACCATTTTGTT